TTTTGGAACTGAGCTAGAAAAATATGCGATTGTTCGTATGTCTGCGAAATCATCGAGTACTTGTTCGTCCGAATAACTGCTTAATCATCGAATATGATTGAGATTGAGTACTTATATTTGAACGAAATGGTAGAAAAATTTCGTTGCTTGCACATTCGAATAGTCGAACATTCGGAGAACGCTCTTATCCTGCTATTCGAATATATAAAGTAGGTTTTTGGAGTTGTAGATGTAGAAATCTTTAATAAATATGATTGATAATTTTAATCTGTTGAAATAAGAAAAATATGAGAGAAAAAGAATAAAGATCATGACTGATCACTTTCAGTATAGCGTTTCCTTATACCGCGATTTCCATTTATCAGTTGCAGTTGCCTGAAGCAAACTTCCTGGATCATTACATATTGTTTAAAGAAGCTCTTTGTTTACACAAATGTTAGATGTAAAGCCTTCTACTCGGCATGGCTTCTCTTCATTTTATTTGGTGCTAATGACGGTTTCAAATTGACATTAATAATTGATATATTGATAATTTTTGCCTCGGGGTTTTTGTGTATCAGTTCACATTACATTGCCTGCCATATATTTTCTCAAATAATACGACAGCTCCCATGTGTTTAATTTCAAGTCAATCTGCATCCAAGATGCAGCCTATATTGACGCTTCTTGACTTCAGAAATGTATAGGATAAGCGATCGCCTTTATCCGCCATACCTTCCATCGCCAGGTATGGACGGAGCCTAATGTTTTTAAGTACACTCATTTCCTGCACATGGACTTATTGGTAAACATGCCTTTGATTGTGCGTGAGCGTGGCAACTTTGAGGAGTCACGATGATAATCACCTCCAAATTATAAGAAATCCGGATAATCCTCAGTTTGGCTAGTCTCTGCTCAAAGTTTTTATGGAGGTCCGGTGGACTCTACTGTGGCTGTTTTCCCTCTAGATGGGTTGCTTTTTCTATGGCCTATAGATGAAATTGAAGTGGGGAAATGTTCGTCATCCATTATTTTAGCACTTGTCTGGCGTGAATTTGCCTTTCGTATACTCACATGTCAAAAAGATACTAATGAAATCTGCTGTATAAGAAGCAAGCAAAAATTATATAAAATTCGTAACCGTCTTCTCAGAACGCTGATGTCGGCATGAGGACGCTGGTGGCAGAGTACACAGCCTGCGTAAGTTTAAATAGCGTGTTGCTCCAGTTGTACGTATACTTAGACTTTGTGCAATGCAGTTCGTGCTTGTCGCGCTTTTTTATGCATGTTAGGTCAAATTACCAATTGCACTCGTAGAATATTGGTTATTTATTGAATCTGTGTTTAGGAAGCCAAGAAAGGCGCTGACGACATGAAGCGATTTTGTGTTGCGCGCATATCTTTCGTGAAAGGTTGGGGACCGGATTACAGCCGAAAGACCATAAGTGAATGTCCATGTTGGATTGAAGTCAAAATGAACAGGTACCTTTCTCTTCGTTCTTCTCTTCGATTTATTACTCATTTTGTGGTAAAATGGTAATCTGGTCATATCAAAAGCTTAGCACAATAAGCTCACTACATTATTTATTAGATAATCAAAACGCACCCATAGAAGGGCAATGGGAGCGTCTTTATATTTGCAATATGGCAATGGGACTCCACTAGGCCTAAATTAGTATTTGCAACGTTTTGCGACTAATTTTGCATATCTTTCCTCTATTAAAAAATATTGACGGAACTCGTGAAATTTATTAGAAAGCTCAAATTCAACCTAAAGTAGTGCTTTGAAAATACAAATTACTGTAGAAGTGAGCTTTGTTCGCGGTTTCGACCAAGTGCACTTTTGAAACAGTTCTTGGCATTTTGCGCGAGCTATTTTTCACAGAAGCCTTCATGTCTCATTTCAGGGAAACGCCTCGTTTATGAACGAGACTATGGAGTTAATAGTTCAAGTCTCATTACCGCTAATGATCTATCATAAAAAACTACTTTATTTTATGAATGTTTGCAAACTAAAAGATGCTACCAGGGGCAGTAAATTCACGCAAGCACATGTTTGCGCTTGGTTAGAGGTCAGCCAGCAATCCCACTTCATGATACAGTTCCAATAATCTCGGAAACAGAATGATTAAGCGTTAAAGAGCTTTCATATTGCGATTCTGTGAATACCTCAACAGTTACAGAAAGAAAATCATGGCCAAAGTACAGGAGGTTGGAAGTTTTAGGCACCTATTATATTCGTCTGACTCTGATTGAACACCTGTAGAAAATTAACTTTTAGAATTTCTTCCTCTAAGGTAGTCATTTTACTGCGATCAGTAATAGCCGACTGAATTCAAATAGTGGTGTATAGAAACGAGAAATTTAGACGATGCAAAGACCATGAGTCATGGTATATACAAAAACGTGTGAAATTGTATATAATTACTAAGAATAGAGGGTAGAATTGAGAGGATCATTGCAGAGCCTTCCAGTACTTGGACGAGTTGATGCACGAAATATAAAATATTGCCATTCTTCTCGACTCGCTCCTCTTCGCTTGTGATTATGCCATTCTCTAAACCCTCCTTTTTTTGTTGCAAGTAGTGTTCTAGCATTAGTCGTGTAGGATTGATATTGTAAAGGTTTTATATTGATCATGATCTCAGTTCGTTGTACAACGAGTTCCCTATCATCGGTGATTCTATCATATATACTTGGAGCGTCTCTTAGCGGACTCCTCATATTATTTCAGAGAATACTGCTTAGATCGGTTTATGTTTACGTACCTCGTGTTTATCTGTCGATTCGAAATTTATTCATACAGAGTATTGCTATTTTAATCAGAGTTTTTATATATGGCTTAAACCTGTTAATGATGCCCATTTGGGTAAGGCGGTTGTATTCGAAAATACTGTGCTTCATAATTTGAGTTATGTGTCAAAGTTCATGTGCTAGAAGAGGCACCCAGGTTTCCCACTTGTCATTTGCTTAGTATCATATGTCATTTGTACGTGTTCATGTGACTATGCAGTTCTTGGTTCACATCAGGAAACTTCTAATGGGATTAATATATTTCAGCCATTTCTGATCTATTTATTCTTTATTCTTCAGAGAAACTAAAGTGATATGTTCTCATTTTGTCCCCTTTCTTATATAATGGATGCGTAGATTTGCTTTCTGAAGGGCGGCTTGTGTTTATCACAACTTCTTCTCTACCTTTCTTGGATCTACCTCTTTTTTGGTTGCCTTGTTGCTCTTACGCAAAGTATAATGTATGCAAAGTAGATTTATTTGAAGACCGAATATATAAAATGTTACAATCGTGACATTAGGCACAGGCACAGAAGGCTAAGGCAGGAAGGCTGGTCCAAACTATCTGTGGTAGTGATAAAAGATCACAAATATTTTAAAAGAT